AGCCGGTAACGGAGGAAGACGCTTCAATTCATCTAACATCAACTCGGCGGCGCGTTTCTTCGATACCTAAGAAAACAGGAACAAGCATTTAAAATTGCGTCATTATTTATCATTCTTTTACATGAAAGATTTGAGAAATTACTTTTTTCGAGGATCCTTCTCCTACAGTAACCTTCTCCCCGACGGTGCATTTTGTCATGAAAGTTCTTATATGAGGTTTACCGCTTTCGGATACGACTTCAAAACTGACTGGCAATCCACGTTTCAGAGCAGTTTCGTGAACAAGAGATACGGGACTTTTTAACTCAGCGTTTGGATCGTCAATGCCACCCAACGTACCGTTCTCGTTAGTATTATTGGTATTTGCGATTTCTTCCGGTAACGGCAACTGGCGTAATTGTTCCAAGGCTCTGCTAGCAGCATCGTGACGTGCAGCTTGGCCTGTTAAACCTCTACCTGTGAACTCGCGCTCACCCACCTTCAGAGTGACAAGATACAATCCCTGAAGATCCGTATGAACTCCACGATTGTACGCGATACGCGGATTGTACATTCGTGGAAAGTTAGCACCGAATCCATGTGGCATAAATTGATGCTGCAATGCAGCTGGAGGAGCTTGTCGGAACGTATAAACAGTTGGTTCACCCCGTTTCATCGCTAACGCGTTCAGTTCGACAGTGGGAGGCAAATGTCCTGTAATCCAAAATAGCATATTTAGAGAGATCAATAGTAATCAATTAAATAGTATTGGAAAGATCTGTAGATTTTATAATTGACAAAAAATATAGTTGTACATAAATCGACATTATTTTGTACAATTATAACATTTATAACTACTTACATTAAGAAAAATAACATTCCAAATTGATATTGTACTATGTATATTATTGCACTACAATTCAATGCATGTAGAATTCACAATAATTACCAGAACCTGTTGGACATTTGCCCAGATGGCCAATTCTCATGGCCTTGGTGGGTTTAGGTGGAGGTTGACGGTACCAAGTTTTCGTCAATGCTTCGGTCGCTGCGCTATGTTGAGCCTTCTTTATACTAGGACCTTCAGCGACATATTCCTCTTCACCCAGTTTTAATGTCACCGTGAATCTCTTTTTGTGCGCCGGTCCCTGCTCGTTGGTCAGCCTATATTGATGTTGAATCCTATTGAATCTCGCCAACTCGTTTAACAAACACATAGGTGTTTTTTCTTTCATGTTTGCCAAAGCTGGATTAGTCGCGGCATGATTCTGACCAGATGCATTGTCATCTCTGGACTCTCCATTGGCATCGTTCGTTATCGCTTTCGATTGATCCACATTTGGTTGTTGTGTTACATGCTGCGGTTGTTGCTGCTGTGATTGTGATTGTTGTACCTGCTGCTGCGATGGCTGTTGCTGCTGAGGAGGTTGATTCTGTTGATTATTCGGTTGCTGCTGCTGCTGTGGCTGTTGCTGATGTGGATACTGAGGTTGTTGCACATTTTGAAGAGTCACAGAAACTGTATTTGCTTGGTCCTTCATGCTAACGCTAACCATAGTATCTGAAGTAAATGTTTCAAATTAATTATATTGATAAAAACAAGAATCTAATTTTTCATTGTGTACTTACTGTTAGTACTGTGCGTATTCATACCCATCAACATTGGCTGTCTTGGATTTCCATGCGGCGGGCCAGGATGCTGCATGTGATGCATATGCTGTTGATGGGGGGGCATGGACAGTATTGGTTGATGCGGATTCCGATGTGGTAACAAATGCTGCGGCTGATGTAGCTGGGGCATGTTAGCCTGCTGCATAGGCCGCATTGGTCCTGTCATTCTATATTCATTTTGTTTCATTACAAGTCTTATTAAATAATAAATAATTCCTTATGTTTATATTAATTTTCTATAAGATAGCAAATACAGTTCTATTATATATAAATATATTTAATTTCTTTTATAATAATTCTCTGGAATAATAAGGAAACAATTTCAACAAATAACAATTATCTTAATTGTTAATTCTTTGAAAATTTTCTCATATGTAGATATTACAGCAACATATCATTACCAATAAACAGAATCGTTAGAAGGTTTCTTTATCAATTTTTAATCATTTATACAAATATTTACATGAACAAAATTCTTTACTTCAATTCTATATAAAAAGGATACTCTTAGAATAAACTAATATTTCAATCATACTTTTTATTTTATTGTTGCAGAATATAACACAATATTTGATTAGAGGATATTAATCTATTGTTCTTAACATAAAACTTGATTAGGGAATATTAACCTGTTGTGATCTCGAAGCTGATTTTGCAATGCGTGATGTTGATGACGTAACATCTTATGAAAATCTATGTAGACAAACCTATAAAATGAAAGCACAAATTCAATCCTCTTTTAATATATTTCAGATGACAGAGTTGTACGACATATATAATACATTTAAATGGGTGTTTATACCTGTACTACATAATCAATTGATAAGATAATCAAATTTTCGATCATGTTCAAATATATAATACATTTGTCTTTTGTATATACTGATAAGTTCTCACGTAGCAATCAGCAGACTATAAACTGTTCTTCTGCTGACTTTGCTAATCAGTGAGCGAGAATATAAATAAATATTTCATAATTATCAATAAACAAGCAATTAACAGTTGACAAATTGTATCTTGTTAATCTTGTTAATCAACAAAGAAGAATACAACTCCGAGCTCTCTTAATTATTCTTAAAAGGTCTACTTTAAATTTATGCTTAAAAAAAAAGGGTCTGCTCCGAAATTTACTCCGAAATGTAGTTTCCAGTATACGCGCGATATATCCTCTTTTCCACATTGAGACGCGAATCGCGAGGTATATAGATTTACAGCGGAAGATCCGATCGAGCCTAGAAGACGTCGAAGACGATAGAAAGTGATAGCAAGACGATATAACCTTCCTGCGGGAAGGGCGAGCCGGTATAACGGGCGGTTTATTACATACGGGGGATGCGATCTCGCGGTATGTCGTCGCGGCCGCGTGCAATATTTCGTACGCACGATCGCGTGCTCCGGGTGTTGCGATCGTCGATCTTTCCGTTTCTATAAATAAAATCCGTCCCCCGATGGAATGGGCTTGGTCCGGCGGCGACAACGGCGGCGGCGACAGTCCATCCGAACAATCGGAGCCACGCCGCGCGCACGGCACGTACACCCTTTTTTGCTCACTTTTCCCCGCACTTACCCGGTCACGTTCGCTCTATTTCACGGAAATTTAGGGCGTGTCGCGCAGCACAGTAAAATTTCCGGCGAAATAGACCCGCTCCGACGAAAACGAACACTGCCAGGCCCTTAGTACGGCTATTGGCAAACAGTAAAGAAAAGTACTCGGTAGACTAAAATGCGGCCATTTTGATGTGGAGCTAGCGGCAGAGCGTGACGTCATCGATCACATTCTGACCGACGATGGGTACACAATTGACGAGAAGGAACAACAGAGATAATGAATGCGATAAAAGAAATCAAAAATCTCTTTATTGATTCCCTTTAAGTCTCTATCCTTTTGATCGTATTTAAAAAAGGTAAACACTTTCTTTCCTATGATTTTTTGCAACCGTTCGAAAAGCTGTTTATATATAATTGCGATTGTTGAGAAATCGCTTATAATTACGCAGAGCGGTTGAAGTTGTGTTTATGTGCGTATTTAAACTGTCTAAAGAAATTTAAATTAATGTGTACGCGTGACACATTATTTACCACATTTATAGTAAATAATGTGATAAATAATAAATTGACGAGAGAAGAATTTTTATAATATAAGTACGATTAATCTTTATCATTTGCATGCAATCTAAGACCACAAAAATAATATACAATAATATAATTTACAAAATATAAATATATTATAAGATATTACAAAATTTTAATATTTTGTAAATATTGTGTGCTGTCTGACTTTTATCGGTTTTAAAATATCGATTTTTTTTTCTTATCTCCTAATACACACGATTGAGTCATTTAAACGAACACCATATATTCAGTATTTGTCTCCTTAAAATATTAGAAATACTTATAACTAAATAATGATCTATATTTTTTTCCTTAAAAACACTTTGGTATCTAGAGAACAAGTTTTGTGAGTTGCCGGCTTCTATTTCTGCGTATCTCCCAACAGAAACATTTCGAAAATTCTTCGGACACGAAAGACCTATCGTGTGTGTAGTGTAATACTTTTTTTACAGCAAAAAATTTTTTGTTTTTTTTCAATTAATTCTCGTTAACATTGCAAAAATGTCACGAACTATTAAAAAAATTGAAAATGAAACAATTTACGTTGATATCATAAATTACGTAAAATTAAAAAATATTTGAAAAAAAATTTGAAAATGTTTTTTCTAATTACTTGTAACGCAATATCAATAATAACAAATGCATTTTTAAAGTGTAAATGCAATAAATGTTAAATTTCTATCCATTTATGCGTTATAAAAAAATGTCATTTTCGGGTTACAATAACTAAACTTTTTGAACAGTTCATTGTATTTTTTCCTGCTTTAGACTTTAGATATAAAATGCACCAGAGCCAGTAGATATATTAGCATGTGTATTTTAATAGAAAAGAAATTTTTATTCTGTAAAATTAAAGCAAATGTATTTTTATTGATCAAACAGACGATATCAGCATAATCCTCTTATATCAGTATTTATTTGGTTTTAGGGATTGATTTATGTAATAATATAAATAAACATTATTAATATAAATAACTCTTTTTTATAAAAACTTGTGACATTTTGATATATATCTTGCATATGTAATGCATATTATTTTATACATATTTTGCATAAAGAATACATATGTTGTAATATAAATGTATTAGATATTGTAAACAATTTGAATCTTAGTTATTATCTGCTTTTTTTAGTAATAAATGTCTGCATAATTCCAATGTCTAATAATTATACATTTAAAAAAAACTAAAACCACAATAAAAAAATCTAACACTTTTATTATATAATGCTAGCACTTTTTAAGGTCTCGATTTATACGTGTTACTGAAAAAAATGTGAAAATTCGAAATGATGCTAGTTCGAATAAAATTGATGCAGTCAATACCGAGATGTCGAGATCGAGTCTCTAAAAAGGGGTTGATATTTCAGATTTTTAGATTTATTCTATCTTGAAGAATTTTACACTTAAGAGACAACAAACGGCGGTAATTTGATCGTACATGGTGGCTCATTATTCTTAATAAGCCAAATTGATCCATTTTTACCCCTTTGAATTGCCACAACTACGGATTGTGCCACATGCACAGCACTGTAACAAATGTATTATGTTTCAGAAAAGATATTAATATAATTTTCATGTTACTTTTAATAATAATATAATAATAATATTAATGACTCTCTTTTATCTTTTTCTTATGTAAGATATTAGTATGTGCATGTTTTTAGTACTAATAATAATGTCAATAATAAAATAATGAATAAATGTATATAATAAAGAAAGGCGATATTCCTCTCTGTCAAAAGTAATAGTATATCCTAATTATGTATAATTATGTTATGGCATTCATGGTTACTTCTAAGATTTATAATTAAGTATTTCTATTACGTTTTTTGTACAC